TGCGAGGAAATATTATTCAGCGAAAAAATAGAAAAATGCTCTGATTGCTGACATGTATACATTCACGAGACATTCACGAGGAATTTTCGCTACACTTCCAATCTTTGAATTTCAACATACAAATGCGTATGTATAGACACAACACCATCCATATACATACATACGTCAAATCCGAAACTGTCCACATATGTTTATATATGTATGAGTCACGACGGACAAGCAAGTGTGCATGTGTGTTTGCGTACCTCATCTTATGTACGGACATGCATCTATGTTTGCGTTAGCACGATGACATCACGACGACGATTCCCCCCGACTCCCATAATAACACCAATACACGCAATCTACATAAACCCAAAATTTTAAAAAAAATTAATCAGTTTGTCTGACGATCGCAAAAGCGTGAAACCCAGGGTCACAAACTCACATCAATCCAACAAAATATGTTAGCTCTATCTCTGATATTAAGCGCTTTCTAATAAGTACCGCGCATATAATATATAAATAATTATATATATATTTTTATTTATATTTAGATACACACACACACACACACACACACATATATATATATACATATATATAATTCTGTTCTTATTTAGGTAACTATCTATCTATCGGCATATATAATTCTGTTCATATTTATCTATCTATAATTGTGTTCATTATTTGGCTATCTATCTATCTATCTATCTATCTATCTATCTTGTTCATTATCTATCGTTTTGTTCATATGTATCGAGCTATCGATCGATTGATTTATCTAATGTTCGAATTTGCACAAGGGCTGAGAACATAATAAGTACGGTCAGCAGACACCTCTTTGTCTTACGCCCTTTTCTAGTTATGGGTCATGACTCTCCACAACTTCCTATTTTCGTAGCCATATCTATCTACTTGCCAACGCTCTCTCTCCCTGTCCTGCCATTCTTTTACACAGGTTCTTTAAGGGAATTAGTCGCTGGTACCCTCTGCCTCTATTGCGCCAATATCCTGCGCGTCTTAAAATACCCAAACCTTCTTTTCTCATAATGTATACCAAAAATTTCAGATGTCTATTCGATGATTTGTAGTAGAAGCGTCATTTTTTCTTCTTCCCGTTCTCCTTAAAATTTATTCGTTGCTTATATGATCCGTTCATGGGATTTTCAGCATCCTACTGTAAAAAAAACATCACTTTTGCTATAAATCTTCTCTTTATCTGTGAGGCAATTCTCCCGCATTCGTTGCCATAGAGGGGGATTGGTATCACTTAGCAGTTCGAACTTGTGTTCCCCTTTGCAGGAGAAACCGCCATTTGGTCCGATGAGCTTTGACCGCTCGGCTTCAAAGAGCTTCCCAATCAAGCAAAGGTCTGTTTGCCTTTAACGCACATTATTACGTTCATATTTTCTCAAAAGTCACAACTGCTCAGTTTCCTATCAAAGTTATTTCTTAAGAATGAATAGAGTTGATTTTTTTTCAATTCGATTTTCGAATCCTTATCTGATTTCTACCAGAGGGCATGTTTTCTTTCGACGTTTTCTCGAGTGTGCAAGGCGAAAGGCGAAGTAAAATAGTTGAAAATAAACGGATCAGCTGCTCAACTGCAGGTATCAAGTAAAGATAAGGTTTGAACAAATAGAAATAGCTCAGATAAACAAATAAAATCATACTCACAAACACAGAACACGCGACGCGTACACACGCACGCACACACACACACACACACACACACACACACACACACACACACACATATATATATATATTGCGTTTAATTTATCAATTTTTCCAACGATTTTCCCTGATGAGATGTTGGACGAAAGGGCCTTAGGGACTATTACCATTAATAAATTCCTTGTACCGCTAAGCATTTATATATATATATATATATATATATATATATATATATATATATATATATATATATATAGTGATAATTGAGGTCAATACACAGCGGCAACGGTCAGTTTTTTTATGCTTAAACGCAATTTTCAAGCCATTTAAGCGTGGGTGTTGACATCATTGTCCACTTTGATAATTAGATAAATTCTATCCCTGATATTCAATATTTTGACCTATAAATATAGCATAACTTAACGCTATATTTTTATATATATATATATATATATATATATATATATATATATATACCAATGTATGTATATGGTTGACTCTCCCGTCATATATAACGTATGAAGGTCAAGCAGCTCAGTTCCAAGGAACCGACAGCCGGACACCAGTATATATGATTTGGTTATGGTGGTGTAGGCTTCTTGAAGGGCCGAATACAGAGACCTGGTGCACTACGTGCCACAATGTCCCCTAACCTCCGCAGGCTTTGAATTCAGAATTGTCCTGCAAATAACCAGCTTTAAAATAATAACAAATAAACTTTAAAAAATTAATAATAGCAATGTTTACCTATCATAATTTTACACAGACCCCACCGCACGTTTATACGTGCACACGAGGAAATATTATTCAGCGAAAAAATAGAAAAATGCTCTGATTGCTGACATGTATACATTCACAAGAAATTTTCGCTACACTTCCGATCTTTGAATTTCAACATACGAATGCGTATGTATATAGACAAAAGCATACATATACATACATATGTCAAATCCCATACTGTCCACATATGTTCATGTCTGTATGAGCCCCGGCGGACGAGCGAGTGTGTATGTGTGTCTGCGTACCTCAACGGGTGTACGGACATGAATCTATGTTTGCGTTAGCATGAGTGACATCACGACGACGATCCCCTCTCCCTCCCATAATAACACCAATACATGAAATCTACATAAACCCAACCTTTTTAAAAATGAATCAGTTTGTCTGAGGTTCGTAAAAGCGTGAAACCCAGGATCATAAACTCACATCAATCTAACCAAATATATATATATATATATATATATATATAAATCGCTATTATCCGAGAATTTCTCCATCCTGAGGAAATCTGTCTATTGATGGTAAAGATGACTGTCGGTGTGATTTCATTAGTAGTTATTGTTGTTCATTTATAATTATTGACGAAATAAATGGTCCGATATCTTGAAATACCAAAGAGTATTAATATTCAATAAAATCGCCATTGGCTTCAACGACAGCCTCCATACAATTTCTGGGTGGTCTCCTTGTTAATTTGGTAACTTCTGCCATAATCCTTGCCTTCCATTCATCTTTGGTGTTGCGCTCCACACATAATAATCAAGGAGGTTGCAGTCTGTGGAGTTAGGTGGCCAGATGTAAAGCATGATGTAGCCGCAGAAATTATCTGACACCTATGGCTGTGTTCTTCTGGTTGTATGGTATGATATAGAGTCCTGTTGCCAGGCATAGGTCTTTCTAACAGCCACTCTCTTGACCCAGGGTAACATTACTTCTTCAAGGTACTTGATGTAGGCCACCGTGTTGTGTCTGAGGCCCTGTGGGAAGATGAATGGAGGCATAACGTCGCCATCACTAGAGACCACACGAAACACCTCCGTAATCACCATTAAATTCATCCAATTGTTTCCGAATCCTCTGAATTCCCTTGGATGGACACTTGAACATTCTGAAATGTTCGTATTACTGTATTCCATTTGTAAATTTCTGGCAGACTGAATTACGTCTTGTTGCTCTTTTTCTCACAGACGGTGCACAAATGACCTTAGTATACTGCATAGTGCAGTCTACAAAAACATGAACAAACAACGCGCATGCCCGAAATTAAAAGAAATATCAATTGGCGACAATTTACCCATTGCACTCTGTATATACAGAAAAAACATTGTATTTAAGTATAGCCTTCGGTAGGAAGATCTTAGATCCCGTACCCATGAAGGCAAGTATTGAGTACAGTAACTGGTATTTACAGAGAGAATAACTGGTATATATATATATATATATATATATATATATATATATATATATATATATGTGTGTGTGTGTGTGTGTGTGTGTGTGTGTACGGTTTAACATTTTGATCACACCACCCATTCGGGCACCATATGTACTGCAGCCGTAGCAGTAGGTATGTCTTGGGTAAAATAACCTTCACTTGGCTGGATTGAATTCAGAGTTTAGTTTCACCTAACCTATTAATCAACTAAGCTTATAGACTCTAGTCTATCCATCTATTTACCCATATCTGGGGTAGAAATAGTGGATTTCCCAAGGGTACGTGTGCGCAAGTTAATGCAACGAACTCGACTGGAAATCTCCAAGATTTCGTTACTAGCCGCTATCAGCCCAAACAAAATCCATTGTGAATCCATCTAAATAAATCTAAATAAGTCTAAACATATTGTGTATAAAACGTCTGAACATCAAAAAAAAAATAAATGATTGATTTCGATTAATTTTGATTTTCATTCAGATTTTTTTAGAATTTCTTTTTATATAAGCCAATTATTTTCAGGATGTGAGAATTCATGAATCTCCACAGCTTCCTAGTTTTTTGTGCTCCATTTTTTACTTTTTACCATCCTTTTTTTATCTCTATTCTATCATCGATTCACGCAAAACCGCTAAACAGATTAGCCGCTTCGTTTGCCTCATTAACTTTTAATATGAATATTAATTTTCTTTAAACTGATAGTAATATTAGCCGTTTCCTTATCTGGAAACATTCGACATTCATTGATCGAGCAGCCGACACTTACATTTAATAAATATTAAAACAGTTTTTTTAAACAGTTTTCAGGTATATCGATTTCTCAAGTCCTCAAACTGTTATGTTTATTTTCAGTACTGATGGGTTCTTTCTTAACCTTTTGTATGAAATAGTGTCGAAAGTCAACAGTTATGTCATTATTTTCTTTTCGAGTTACGTGTAATACCAATTCAACTATTTCTGCTGTTGAAAGTTTTCAAATGAAGTGGTTTCGGTTACTTGGTACTGGTACTCGTTTAGGATTTTATAGCGCCAGTAACATGAGGTCCGAAAAAGTATAGTCGTCTTTAAAGCCAACGGGCTTCATTTGCTCGACGCCATTTTTAACCACTGATCTGAGGCTTCACGTCACGTTGAAATACCGATTCCCGTACGATCACCGAAGTTAAGCAACATCTAGTCTGGTCGGTACCTAGATGGGTGACCGCTTGGAAATGACAGATGTTGTAAGCTTGGATGTGTGTGTTCTGTAACGGATAATGACTCAGAATTGTTAATCGGAGTTTCAATGCCAGTCGTGTTTGTTATATCCATTTACGCGCAAATGCTCTTGGAAATGGTATGACTCCACCTCTTGTCCCCCATCTATGGGTTAATTAGTAAGACTTGTGTAACTGAACCATTATTATCTCCAAAAATAAAATAAAATTGGGTGCAAAAAATCTTTAGTTTTAGGCATTACATAACCTATAGAGGTTGATATGCCGTTAAACAAAATTAAGCAATCAACCATTGATTTCAGAAAGCAGTTGTATACATTTGATAATGTAGATATTTCTGAATGGGGTTGGGCGCCATGGATTTTCTCCATATGAATGTTTCGGTTTGATGAGGCTATTTAAGAACATAGGTTGTTTTAATAATTTCATCTCAAGCAAGGCGATAATGCAACTATGGCGTAGGGAGTTAGACGGAGTTCAAGAAAATGAGTAGGTTTTATTGAGAAGTGGGGAAAAGGCCAATAATGGAACAGAGATCAAGAAAGCAGAAGATGGCGATTGACGCTGCATATATTTGTAGGTGGCAGAGAAGCAAGAAATCGAGAAGGAGTTCCACAGGTGATTGCTTAATTGATTCGTTTTTTACGGTTTATCAAACCTTTGCAGTTTACTTAAAGCCGTAAAATATTTTTAAATTCTAAGCATTTTTGGAGAAATATATTTAATTCACAAGTTTGTAAAAAAAAAAAAAAAAGATTTGTAAGAAAGATTCATTGTGTCAGTGGAATACACACAAAGAAGAGCAGAAATTATTTCTCTTTTTCTGAGAATCTTCCCACCCACAAAAAGAAATTTCTGCAATTAATGATTACCTCAAAGCAAGTCGTTTATTATTTTCCTGAACTGGACAAATATTGTGGAAGATAGTTTATCTTTGGTATCCGAAAACATTCAAGTCGAAATGCACAAAAAATACAATTAATCAACGCCATTGCAGACATTATAAATTTAAACTGAAGTACCGACATGACTCAAATTAACTGTCGGATTCATGATTTTCAATAATTTATTGCTATCAAGATGAACTTAAACGGATGCGTATTATGTAATTTTCTATCGTAAATATAGTTATTTCATATGTTTGCATCAACCGAAGAATAGGCTTCACTGCAAATTGGTATTATCTAGACGTCTTAAAATAAATAATAGTAACGGCGAGATTAGACATTTTCCTACAGGAAACACCCAGCATTCACTGACCGAACATTTAGCTTTACTGTCAGATGAAATATACAAAATCATTCCTAAAAATGTTTTGCAGGACTTTTCAAGTTTATTAACTATTATCGTTCATTTAGAATTGGCAGCAGTTTCCTTCCTAACTTTTTTGTTTAATGTACTGCTGAAAATAAACATCGTGATGATATCATTCTTTCCCCTTCCATTTGCTATCCGTTTTTGTTGTTGCTGCTGCTGTTGTCAAGTTTGCAAGTGATGTAGTCTTTGTTCTTTGTTAAAGCATTTTGAGATTCTGTAGCGAAAGTTTATTGTTTTTAAGGAACGATTTTCTTTTTTTCAGACATAAAGTATTCATTCGTTTGAAGCTATTTTTAATCGTTGAAATGCCCGGACTACAATGATATATTGGAGTGTCAAAAGGACGGTTTTTCCGTTGACACCACTGGTATTTTAAGTACCTTCACTCCTCGACAATATTTGTTGTTTTTAAAAGAATGGAAAAGAATTGGAATAAAACCTAAACATATGACAAATGTAAATTTATATATATATATATATATATATATATATATATATATATATATATATATATATATAATAATGGACTCTCCCGTCGTTTCGACGTATGAGGATCTGCCAGCTTATTGATTCAGTTATGAAAGTTTATGCGATAATCTTAAGTGGAATTTAAGACCCGCTAGTGATTTACAAAGAAGGCCACATATGGAGTAGGTGTAAGAATTGTGAGATGAGATCACTGTTAGATTGGCTGACCTTTTAGATCTTGCTCTCGCTTCTTGAAGATGATTCAGACAAGCAGATTGAAAATTGCTGAGTCCACGAAAACACGTTGATCTCCATTTTACCCGCTCCAAAGCTAAGCGCTCAAGGCTGTTATGTGGTATATTAACTGCTGACAAGTTGCTTTTCAGCTTGTCTTTGTATCTTAGCCATATATATATATATTGTTTTTGATTGTTTATAGCAAAAATATTACACTAATTATTTATTCTATTGTTTAAGGGAATATAACGACTCAATGGGTGCCAGAACTTAGCTTTCTGATTAACATTCCCAAGCCTTTATACATTATACCCGCCGCACATCCCGGATCTGGTATTTCCAAGCGGACCCCACCTAGGTACTGACCAGGCTCGACGTTGATTGATTTCAGTGATCGTACAGGAACCAGTGTTTCAACGTGATATGGTCGTAAATCGAGATGCAGTTTGTATGTAATGAGAAAAAAGTGTAGATACTAATAAGAAAGAAAGGTAAGATCCTAGACGCAAGCCACTAATCTGCCACTGTGTGGCTTGCCATTAGCGTTTACTGCTGGTGGCCAACCGGCGTCTTTGTCTCGGCAATGTTACTACTGGCGGACTGCTGTAGGCGGACCGCTGGAGGCGCACCGGTGGCCCTCCGATGGCCGCCACCAGCAGACCACTGGCGTTGACAGTGACGGTCCGGCCAGCGGCTTACGTGTAGGGAAAGAGGGTAGGAAGGAAGGAAGGAAGGGAAAGAAAGAAAGAAGGAAAGAAAGAAAGAAAGAAAGAAGGAAAGAAGGAAAGAAAGAAAGAAAGAAGGAAAGTAGGGAGTAAGGAAAGAAAGAAAGAAAGAAAGAAAGAAAGAAAGAAGGTAGTAAGGATAGAAGGAAAGAAAGAAAGAAAGAAAGAAAGAAGGAAAGAAGGGAGGAAAGAAGGGAGGAAAGAAGGGAGGAAGGAAAGAAAGAAAGAAAGAAGGAAAGAAAGAAGGAAAGAAGGGAGGAAGGAAAGAAAGAAAGAAAAAGAACAGCAGCAACACCCACATGCGTTTAAAGTGTCCTTTAGAAAAATGGAAACCTTGTCGGTTTTTAATCTTTTCATTTGTACTCTATTACTTCTTGAAATAATGACCAGCTTTCACAGCTTTTTAACGCCATTGCAAGTTGTTAACCTGAAACATTTAACGATGCAGTATGGTTTTCTTTACGAGTAATTTGTTGAAACTTGCAAATAGTTTAACTAATAATTAAAAATCGTGATTATGAGCGTACTCGAAGTAAATGTAGGCTTAAGGCCACATCCCGTTATAACACCGGTTCCCGTACAATCACTTGAGTTAAACATCATCGAGCCTATTCAGTATCTAGATGGGTGACTGTTTTGGAAAACTAGGTTCTGTAAGCTTGGATGTGCAGGTGGTGTAATGGAATTGTTAATCGGAGATTTGGTTTCGTCATATTGACTTACGCGTTCATACACATGGGAAAGGTATGAATCCACCTATACCCCTCCAAATATGGGTTAATTAGTAAAACATGTATCCCTGTTCCTGTTCCGGCATTCACCCGAGGTGGGTTGAGCCGGCTCCAATATTGGAGTTTCATGGGAATTTGGAATTCACAAGCGGTCCCCAACCCGCATGTATAGCACATGAGATTTGATTATAGTAGTGAAGGTTTCGTGCAGGACCATCCACACTTTTTGATGGACCGATTACAGAGACCTGGTGCACTAAGTGCCACAAGGTCCCCAAACGACCCTCCGGAGGTTTTGAATTCAGAGTTGTCCTTCTCCTAGACCAGTTGCCATCCAAGGCTATAGAACCCAGTTTGTCCTGCTATTTACCCATAGCTGGAGGGAGAAGAAGAGGATTCACACCTTTCCCAAGGGTATTAGCACGTAATTGAATGTAATGGATTCGACTGGAATTCGAACTCGGCTCTTCGATTCCTCAATCCAAGCCGCTATCCATTACTCCACCGTGCCTCCTAAAAACATGTATCACTAAAGCATTATTAACTTCAAAATATTCTTACTCTCTAGAAATATTTTCTGGCATTAAATAACCTGTAAACGGTTAATAAATCCTAAAAAAGCAATGTTAGTAAATGCCGTGTTATAAAATGTATTTTGGCCTTCCAATTCGATATTTCAACTTTAGAATCGGTTCCCGCAAAGATTTTTTGAGCCAATTTGTATAAACTCGGTTATTATTACTAAGCGCTTATTCTACGCTGTTTCCGGTGTTTGCCGTGTTTTTCTCTGTTTATCTACAGGAAAAAAAAAAAGGTTAAAATCTTTTCGAATAGTGCTGGTTAGGAAAAGAAAGAAACATCTTGATAGGAAGAGTCAGTCTACATACTTGAATTGCTTCCATTCAAGCAAATAAAATGATAGACATTTAAGAGCGCAAGCCTTCTTGCACGAAAAGCCGCATCACACCTCATCAAACATTCCACATCGGATCTACTACAGCCAACCGATTTCCTTCTAGTCTGCCCAAGCGGTCAAAAATACCATTAATCACTACCATCTACCCGCAAACGTTTTAAATAAGTACCCTCTTTCTGGCTTGTACATTCTGGAAATGTGTGTGAAGGAAATGACTAGTGTGAATTGTTACTGCCTCCAGCGTCGATTTGGCGCCAACACATCGTCATTGTATGTTTGCTTTTGCGCATGAGCAATCACGTCACGTTCCTTTCCGATGGGCTCCGAAGACGACTTGCCAGTTTCTGTTCGTCGATTTCTTTTGCTTACCTGAAAGCTATGTTTGAAAAACACTTTTTCTCTTTTTTTTTTTGTCATTTTTCTTTTCCTTTTTGCTCTTTTAAAAGTTGGTTTTGATGTGGATCGCAACGCAAATGAAGGATTTTGTAACGTATTTTCTCCAGGGACCTGTGTGTAATTGAGGGCTTAAAAAAAAAAACAAAATATATATATATATATATATATATATATATATATATATATATATATATATATATATATATTGTTCATAGAAAGGC